AGACGGGATAACGTGATTAAAGATCCGGTTACAATCCAGGGTAGAAAATAAACTTTTTATCTTCGAGTCGACCTGTATCTTCTTGTCATTGTTAACTTCCTCCATTGTAAACTTTTAACACGTAATCAAATTCGCGAAAAAATGCATAATAACGATTAAGTATCAAAGTCGAAAGTATCAAAGATGAAAAATTAAAAAAATATATTCTAGAAATCTTTTCGGAAAATCTGAACGTGCAATTATTTTAAAACTCTCCTCAAGTTTGCTTCGAAAGAAATATCCCATGGAAACAAAAATTAATCAAATCAAATTTACCAAATATGTTTCAACAATTTCGTCGATTCGAATATAAAATTTCAAAACGAAAACGTCCAAATACAAATTTTCCGAAACGGAGAATACACATTCCCTGTAGAATCATCGGGCAAAAAAAAAAAAAAAAAAAAAAAAAGGAATATTCCTCCCGCGCGAATGGACGCGATGCGATGGCCCGCGTTATCGAGATAGTTTCATTATCGTTTCACTTGATTAGGAAGGCTCGCGTGTTCACGCGATTACAAAACCGAACGATCGCCTAATACGCAATACGGTAGGAATTCCGGACCTGGATACGATGAACACGGTCCGAAAATCGGAGAAAGAGAGGACGAAACCCTCCCCTCCCCTTCAGGTAGGTACAGGGATTCGAGGTATCGGACCGAATCGACGGTCGAATCTCTGGATCGATCGATCGCAGCCTACCGCTCGTCGTTTAACCAGATTATTCACGCTCCGCCAATGAAAAGGGGCCAATGAAATTGCGATAAAGCCGAAATTGTGTGCTCGCGAGCGCGCGTGGTGCAAAGAGAGAGGGAGAGAAAGAGAGGGTACGAGAAGGTGGGAAAAAGAGAGGGCGAGGAAGGTCGGAGGGTGGTGATCAGGCCTGCAGCAAATATCGCCGGACGACTTTCATTTTCTGCGCACTAATTATTCACCTAGCCCCGGCGCTCGTTCGTTTGTTTCTGCCGCGTTCGCAAATAAAAGCCGAAATGGATGCGCCGCGACGAAATCGCGACCCCCAAACCCACCCCTCCCCCTCTTGTGAAATGTCGAGGACGGCCATTGGCTGGTTACCGCACCGTGAAAATCGTCCAACGATTTCCCCTCTCCTCCCCCTCCCCCTTTTTCTCGAATCATATCGGTGTTTTTCGAGATTTTTATCGGACGGGGGAGAAAGTGTTTTCTCGAAATCTCGTCCCTCTTGGTTTTTATGGGGAGGGAGGGAAGAAGGAAAGGGAAGAAGCTGAAACGTTGAGAATGGTCGGTTTGTTATGAAGGGTTATTAGTTTGTTATTCACCTGTTTCGAAGATAGGGAAGAATAATATTTGAGCTTATAACAAGTTGTTTGAAGTTTGTTATACGGGGCATATTTTTTTTTTCGGGTGGATGTTTTTGCAGATTTTCTTTTTTTCTTTTTTTTTTTTTTTTTTTAGGCGTGTTTTCTTTCTCGTAATGAGGATTCGCGAGATTGGAAATATTAAGAAATATTGTTTCAAACACGTTATTTTTCTCGCTTGTTCATTTAAAATAAATATATCGAGGATATAAAAATATTAAGTAATCAATTTTTTTAAATTTCAATTTTTGCGTTTACGATAGAAATATAATATTGTAGAAGCGATAAACGTACATAACATTCGAATCTTTCTCCTTTTTTTTTTTTTTACACTCTCTACCTCCCCTCCATCCTCTTTTCTCCGCTTAACATTATCCAACCCTCCTAAATATTTCTCCTAAATTCCAAACCTCCCCCCGCAATCGATATCGCCGCTTTCAAATTAACGCTTGGCCAAAATCAACCCCCCCCCTCCCCTCTCCTCCCAACCTGGCTAACCAACCTCTCATCGCACTTCATCACTCGCGATTCCGCAAAACTTCATCGAGGAAACAGTTTCCAAACTCTCTTCCTCTCCCTCTCCCCCATTGGCTCGAAAAGCGAGCCGATTTCGGCAGAGACAGACCGATTTGTCTAATTAAATCAAGCCAGTTTCTGGATGGAGGGGTCCTCGAGCCCTCGTGTCGACCATACGAAATTGCAATGGACCGGAGGAGGAATGGGGGGATACGGATTAATGGGACCGTGATGATATGTTCGGCCGTGCACGGCACGGTTAAAAGCGATAATTTCCTCGTAATCCCGAAACGTCCTCTCGTTATTATTAATTGGCCCCGCTGTCAGTTCGCCGCCCCGGTGTCAGACATTTTCTACTCCTACTCCTCCTCCCCTCCCCTCCCCTTCCCTTTCCTCTCCCGCTCCAGCGCGCGAAAATTTGTCTGGATCGTCTCTCGCTCGTTAAACTCGGCTCATCTCAGCGAAAGCTGAGATCCAACGCGACACCCTAAACTACTGGCGGGGGAAGAGGGTTATCGCTGCGAATCGGTTTATCAGGCGACACGCTGACCGATTATTTATGGCCATCGGCACAGCCAAGGTTACGCTCTCATGGACGCGCGTCGATTAATCGCGCGTGTCCCCCATTTCCGGTTTAGGGCTTGTGCTTATTGGCCCACCTCGAGAATGGGAAGGGGGGGTTTGATCAAGGAAGGGTTTGTTAAGGAGGCGTGGAGGTGGGTTTGCGTTACGTTGATTCCGAGGGTGATTATTTTAAAATTTGAGACGAGGGTTATGAGGGTTATGAAATATAGGGGGTAGGGGTAGAAATTTGGCGCGAATAATATTTTTCTATATTTTTTTTTTTTTTTCGATCGTTTTGTACATATATACGCGTTGCATTGGAAAGGATATTTCAATCAATGGTTTCGTTCAGTTCGATTTCCATAATCGGTTTAATCGACTCTTAAACGATATATCGTTCGGTATATATATATGAGTGACAAAGTAAATTTTAAATAATATTTATATTTAATCTATTTGTAGCCCGAAGCGTGAGCGATTTCACACGGGAATTTTTTCTTAAATTTTTCGACACGGCGAACGCGCCATTATCCGTTATTTATAATTGAAATTAACAGACGGCACATCGGTGATCGCGGTTGAAATTTCAGTCGAACCGTTCAATGGCGTTAAATTTCATTTCCATTGTAGGTATCGCGAGCTTTACTCAAACGCGAAATATAGGCCAGCGGAAAACACTGGTGAAATCGTGTTGGTTGGAACGAAAATACGATAAAATAATATAAATTAAGTTAAACTTTATAACACCGCTCGGGCTTTTTTCTCCACTCCCTCCCCAAAAAGTCACTCCATTATTGTTTACCTTATGAAACTCGATTTTTTTTAACGTTTCTCTTTTTCTAGTTTAATACCAATTCTTTTTAAAAATAATAACAATAAAATAATGTACATATAATAGAACAGTGAAAGTAAGATACGTGAATTCTTTCTTCTCTCTCGGCGAAGTCAAACGAGTTTCCAAGACGTCTCTAAAAGCAACAAGAACGTATAAATAGTTAGTTTCATTAGTGTGTGAAAAATGAATAGCAAACAAAAAGTTACAAATCGTAGTCTCTTTCGTAACAATTTCACTCGTTCTACTTAAAAACTGTCAAAAAGAGAAAATCAATGTAACAATGTACACCCATATTATTATTATTATTATTATTATTCGTTACAATCGCAAAAGAATAAAAAACTCGCATGAAATTTCCCTTTCGATGCATCAAAACTTTGTCCATAATTCGTCCAATTCTAAAAAAAGAAATATGGATAAAGAAAACGTGAAGGAAACGTGGAGGGAACGCGGAGAATTCAAATTGCTTCGATCCTCCTCGTCCTGGAGGATTCGCGAAGGAAATAGCCGCGGATCCGCGTGCCCCCGGTTAGTTAGCCCGCAATTTGTTCCGGCTAACGAGAAGTTCTCGCCAACGAGATTTATAAGGCTGGTCCTCGTTAAAATAGTCGACGAGCCGCGCCTGGGTAGCCGCGAAACTATCGCCTCGAAAAACAAAAGTTTCTTCCAGGCCCGGGTCGCCGCGATTTCCACGAACGTTTGTTTAATTCGATCCGGGCCGGACGATGCAATTCCACCTCCAGTCGTCGTCTGGACCCTGGATTCCAATTATCGCGTTAACTTTTTCATTTACTCGCCACCCCGGGATATAATGCCACGGTTAAACGCGTTTTAACTTCGTCGTGCAAAGTACTATCCACGATTCGTGTTATTGAGTTGAAATGGGGATTTAGATCTGTTTTTTTTTTTCTTTTTCTTTTTTAAATTGAGGAAATTCGATGGATTAGACGAGAAGATATTTTTTTTAAATATCCGTTTTCGGAAGATCGATGAATTCGGTTTGTAGCAGCCGAGATTGGAACGTCTTTGAGAGATAGATAAGAAATATTTAATTACACAAGGATTATTATTTTGGAGCCGAGAAATAAATTAATTGATGAATTTGAACAAATAGAATATGGATTTTTTGGATACGAATAATATATAATATAGATATAGATAGAACATTATATTTAAGATTCTAGCAACCCCTCTAAAAATCTCGCTAAAATAAGATAAGAATTTAAAGCATTGAAGAAACGTTTCCATTCGCGGCGATATTTCTGTCGACATTCTGACAACAAATCTACCGACAGAAAAATCGCGAATCCTTGAGGAGGAATACCTAAGAACCCGCGCTTTAAACTTAATTTAATTGCACAAACTCTCGCGTCAAGCCTTGCATAAACAAACTGCTTGTTAAATGCGGCGAGAAGAGGAGGATCCAAACCGTCTCTCTGACATTAACCACGCAGCCGCGATCCGCCAAGCCATCGTTTAATCGAGCATTCTCGAGCGGTCGTTAGATTTTTCGACCGAGGCTGCCTGCCCGTTTCCACGAGCTCGCCTGCCCCTCTCCACCGCTACCGATAAATTAAGGGAGGGGGAAGCCGCAAACTTGGATACAGCCGCGGAAGCAAAATTTCGGTCTGTCGTGGTGGCTCGCGGCCGAGACACGCACAATGGGCGCCCGGACGCGATAATTGCCAGGCGCGTTGCCAATTCGACGTTCTCCTGTTAATTGATTCGCCAGGGAACGGTTGTCGGCCCCCTCGTTAACGAGCCTCCTCCGCTAATCGCGGATACTGCGCTTTCAGGACACGGACGAGTCCGTTCCTCTTTGCGATTAGACAGTCTGTGGACGACACGACACGATATTGCTGGATTAGCAGGTACGTATTTGGAAATTCATCTTTTCTCTGTACGTATTATTTTAACGTCTGTAGTTGGAATTTTAAATATTTTTTATCTGCAGATACTGCAAAAATTGCGACAATTCTTCCGTATGTAATTCTTCGCTTTGCTATTTGAGGAAAATGGGAGGTATGTAGAATTTTGCATGGAAATTTGAAATTGTTAAGGAAATATATATTCGGGATCGTTGATTATTTTCGTTGAAATACGTATTACGCGTTAGAGTAACCTACGACGTAGAGGGATTAATATATTTACACGGCCTTCGTACGATACAAATGTTTACGTTACAGTGTTTTTGTTGACGTTTCTTTAATTCGTATTCGCTCTAGGTTTCGCTCAATGTAATTCAGAATACCGAGTGAATTAAAGGAAGGTTGATCGTAATATTTTTAGAACATTATTCGAGATAATACAATCATTGATATTAATTTTTATATATTAACTTACGAAATTTCGCAAAAAGATAATATCACAGTGACGATGTTACTAACTAACTACTAATTGTTAATATATTCACTTTGATCGAATTCACAATGCTCTCTCGATATTAAATCTGGAAATATCTGGAAAAATTTCCGATTCCCTGCAGAACTTCGTTTAAAAATAAATCAGTCGAAGAGCAAGTCGAGATCGTTCCCTTTCATTCGTAATAACGTGCGATCAAATTTATATATTAACCTCTTCCCAACGAACTTGAAACACTCTATAGTGTAACGTATCATAAAAATTTCGTTGATGGACAAAATTCCACTTTCCCTCCCCAAAAAACGTAAAAACGAACGGAAATCGGATATCGACGGATCCAATCCCCCTTTCCTGAAGTATGAATTTCGCGAAGATTGACAAAAAGGCCGGATGTCTCGGTTTCCAGCCGGCTAATCAATTACATTAATAGAGATGCAGCCTTGGGGCGGAGAAAGCAGCGAGAGAATGGCTCTTAATCGCATCGGCCGCGACAAAGTGGCGGGCTAACGTTTTCCTTTTGACTCAATTAAACCGCAACCGCGGTTTCGTTCCCTCACGTCCTCCCCTCCGCGCGTAACCCGCCTCTGACGCGCCTCAGACATCTTAATTACCCTAATACATTTTGCGGTAATCGGGCGATTCCGGTTCGGAACTTCCGCGGGCCCGCAACTCCGGATGGACCGGAGCGGATAACTTTTTACAACGAGGGCGAAAAAGAGGCGAGTTCCAGAGGCGGGATCCTGGCGGGATTCTTCCTCGCGGCAGGGCCCTCCGTTCAAATTTCTTGCTCCGTCTGTTTTTTTCTTCCGAGGGAAAATTAAAGCTCGTTAATATCGCACGAAAGCGGGGGAGGGGGAACAGAGGTGTTCTTTGTTCTTGGACGAATTCAATTGGAGGAAGGTCGAGTCGAAAGGTGAATTTTTTTTCTTTTTCCTTTTTTGCAGAGTGGAGGAGGAACGATGGTTCGAGAAACGATGGAAGAATATTTCGCAATACGTGATACGATACGATATTTCTGTTTTTGAGTTTATTGTAAGATTGGAAAGATGTTGTTCAGTTTTAGTAAAGAAATTTGAAGTATTGAAGAAAAATTAAATTGGAGCCTGATTTTCGAAACGAGATAATATAATAGAGATACGTAATCTTATATAAAGAATTCGATAACTATGCGATAAGATATGATATTTTAGGTTAGAAATAAAATTACAAGAATATTGAACCTTAAATTTTTCTTTTGGTATTAAGAATGATTCTAATGTAATAAGGCATACTTATAAAATTCATTTTGGAATATACATTTATCGATAAAGCATATTCTTATCGTTATCTGGAAGAAATATTATATCATAGGGAAATAAATTCTCAAACGATTGGTCTTTCGCGCGTACACTTCTTTAAACAGACTTTACCCAATATTTAAATCATTCCTCGTCCGCGAACGATTTTTCCAAATATTTTTTTCCCTTCCAGTAGCCGTTCGACTACGTACAGATTGAAAAGGAGTCGGCGACACGGTCTCTCGCAAGTCGAGGCAGGCGGGCGCGATAAAAATTTCAACGTACGTCGTCCCTCGTTGGAGGGGCTCGTCCTCGCCGCTTTCACCGGCGAAACAAAAATTACGGTCCGTTTGTTGCCGGCCGTTAAATAAATAATACGCAACTCGTTAGGTTCCCATACGGAAGGTGGCCTCGTGTGGACAATCGATGCCATTTCGACGCGTTTTCGTCACGGGGACACGCAACAACCCTTATCAATTACGTCCCTTTGGCGAATGAGAGAACCAAGTGGAATACGTTTGTTTGTTCGTTTGGAGAGATTCGACGGAAAACACAATCGAGTAAGTTTATCGATGTTGCGGTAAGTTGGATTTATACTTTTTTTAACGTTAACGTAGTTTGAGTTACGCGAGGTGAAAAGTGAATCGAGATTCATCTTGGCGGATTATTTATTTATTTTATTAAACGAATTTATTATTTCCAACGATCGTGCGTACGTTTGCAAGTTTATACACGGCGTGTGATAAAAAGCTCCTCTCACTTTGATGTTATTTTTCAGCATCGATTATATAAAACTCTGTAATCTTTACGGGATTAAACGAGATGCTAGAGTTTTAGTTACAGGAAAATCTGGATTAACAAGATTCCGAGGTAGTTTGAATATTACTCGTTTCCCACGAGGAATGAATGGTAATTTTGAGTTTGATTTACTACGGAATCCCGTGGAACTATTCGGTCCCGGCAGACAGTTTATTTTGCGATCTGTGTTCCCTTCGAATTCCAAATAATAATCCCTTAATCGTTCAAAAAATCTTGTCTTTATCTTCTTAATTTGGTAAAATTTTGTTCAATTTATTTTGCATTATAACTTTTATTTATTATTTAAATTATAAGAAGATTTCGAATTTCAAAAAATTGGATATAAATCGTCCGGGAATAAATTATTCTTTAATCGATTAATCAAATTGTCAACCGTATGAAATTCGATTATCTCGTATTTACCTGCGATTTTTTTTTTTTTTTTAAATCGCGAAAGAAAATTTATAGATTTAATTATAGTATCGATTCTCGATTACTGCTTTCATTCTTGATTTAAATAAAAAAAAAAAAAAAAAANAAAAAAAAAAAAAAAAACCACATGGAAAAGACTGGAAAAAAACTAATTTTCGGAAATTAGAATTAAAGAAAGGCGAGAGAAAATGACAAATTTTCCTCGAAACTTTCAAACTTGTCGCTCGAACTCGGAGACACGAAATGGAAGATCACGACAAGATGTTTCGTCGGGTAATTTCGCGATAACAACACGGTTTTCTCAACATAAGATGGAGAAATAAGACGAGGCGGAGGTCCGTGTCACACGCGGCCAGGTAACACGTTTTCGATAGCTTATGCGACGAGTTTTCGCGAAACCTCATTTGAAAGTTTGATTAAAATTTCTTCCGTGCCGGTCATATATAATAGATAAACTTTTTCAACTGGATACGAGTTTTATGCACAACGGGATCGCGACCGTTTTTATAAAGCGTAAAAGCTGATTTATAATGCATAAATCTATTCCGATGATGGTCAAATTGAACCGACTCCCGTTCATTCGACCTCGAGAAATTACCCATTCATCGATGATCGAGTTATCCTCTCTGTTGTAACATGAGAATTCAATCGAAAAATGACAGTTTTCAGTAAAATAGAGTTATCTCCTTCCCTCGTTTATATTTCAATTTTTTTTTTGCAATAGGTTGTATCTCAATTAAAGAGAGTAAGTAAATATTTGTCTTATTTTGATAATGACAATGAAAAAATATTTAGAATCGCGTCATTTAAAGGGGAAATTTTTCTCGATTAAAATCTTCGAGATCAAATTTTCAAAGTAGTCTCACAAATATTTTGTGACAGCTTTTCTATTGAAAGGAAAATCAATAGAATATTCCAAAAATCGCAAGATTCTCCAATATTGTTCCATTATTCATTTCGCAAGTTCTACAATTATTCGCGCTATTCAAAAATTAAATCACACTTTTCGATGACTGCACGATTAATCTGCAAGATTAACTTCAATCAAACCTTCATCACCAAACTACGAAATTTCAAATCACACTTCTCAACACCTTCTTTCAATCACAATCGACACTAATCAACTTCAAACGCACCATCGATCACGAAATCGCGGTTCTCAACACCTTTCATCACATTTTTCCGGGGTGAAAGAATATTATACAAAAATCCTTCCCGCGAACGAACCTTTTCTCCTCGCCACAACAAGAAACAACAACCGTCATCTCCTCGCATCTCCGCACGAACACGCGTACCCGTAAGTTCACCTGTAATCCCGCAGGACAAGGGGTTGCGCCGTGTCGTTGACGGGTTAATTAATTTCGAACGAGAATCGTGGCCCCGTGTTCGTAACCCAGATACACATCCCCGAACGAAGGAGGGAAAAGAAATTGAAGGGCGAGAGAGAGAAAGAGAGAGAGAGAGAAAGGGGAGAAAGAAAGGAGGAGGGAAGAAAAATAGAGGAGGAGGAGGAGGAAAGGAAGGAAGGAAAGGAGGGAAATTGAAGCGATTACGGAGGAAGTGGAGCGCGGTGGAACGCGTTGCGAATCCGGAAACAGATGCCTCTCGATTTAACAGGCTCTCGCCGTACTATAACTCGGACTCCGCTACAACCGAAATCTGACATGGCCACGTGTTCGGATGCTACGCGTTAGTTCTGACGGCTTAATTAAGCCTGGAGCCGAGAGGGTTAGAGTGTTCCTCGGATATTCAACGGCTCCCGCTGTTGCTGCTGCTGCTGCTGCTGCTCCCTCCCCTCTCACGTCGCCACCCTCCACCGACAAGCGTCATAGGGACGCGGAGGAGGCGACCGGTCGACTCCAAATATTTATAGAGTCTGTCGGTGCGAGTGGATTTATGGACGCGCGTTCTGGACCGTTGTAAATGAAAAAAGAGGGCGGGAGGGAGGAAGGGAGGGAGGGAGGAGCGGAAGAACTGGTGGAAAGGTGAAGACGAAGGTAAAGGTTCGTAAGATAAGATTCGCTTTTTCTTCGCCAATTTTGGAAAAGTTATTTCCAAAGTATTGAGGAGACGTTTGTTTGGACGTTTTGTTTGGAAATTTATCAGATATGTGTATATTTATTTTTTGTATGGATCATTGGAATACGATGAAACAAATTCAAGATTGTTTTTTAACAAATACTCGAAAGTCAGTTTACGAGAATGTTCACGATTGATTCAATCTTTGAGACGAGGAAGACACGGGCTCGTAATGACGTTACCTTCAAAATCTCGTTCCTTTCGAGAGTTACAAATGGTCACAAGATGTTCACGGTTCTGAAACAAACGATCCTCGTAGGAGGTGGATGATAAAATGCGTAAGATATATTCGTGCGCCTTTGAATCAGTGGATTCCTAAAAAGAAAAAGAGAAAAAAAAAATCAACGCAATTATTTTTAAGTTAAAATTATTTAACTTAAAGTATTATTACTTATTCGTTTCGTACTGATTAAAAAACATTGATCTATATATGCAAATGTAGAGAGAGAGAGAGAGAGAGAGAGAGAGAGAAAGAGAGGATTAAGGAGTTTATTATAAAATCACGATTCGATAAAAATAAGAAAATATGATAATTCGTTATTAATTATCGAGATATAATAATAATTTCAATATTAAAGATTCAGGAAATTTTTCAAAATATGACAGCATATAATCGATTCTTCGTTCGATCAATTCTTATTTTTATCGACCACTTCCTCCTCAAAAAAAAAAAGGAACTCCTCGAGAAAACTGCTACGAGATTAGAGATTTCCTTCCTCGAAAATATAATATTCCACGGATAGAGGAGGCCGTGTCGAAACTCAATTTATCGACGATGACGCGGCTCGATCGGTTCGTTTCGATGCAAAGTCTCCGCGATCGCGTTCAAAATAGCTGTCCCCTCGCGGCTGTCAAAAAATCAATTTGAGGGACCAGATATTCCCCCTCCCCTCTCCCTCCCCTCTCCTTCCTGGAGAGGGAAAATTGCGATCCGTGGATGATGCGCGTGTACGACAATGCCTGTGACACGATTTTCTTTTTTTTTTTTTTTTTTTTTTGGCCACAGAACGAAGGAACGAGCGAGAGCGTGGAAACGAGAATTCGCGTTTAACTTGAGTTGCGTCGGGTAAACGAAAAAATTCGCCTCGAAATGCTTCATCACGATCCTGGAAACACGTTTTTTCGACTTCGATAACGCTTCGACGATCCCTCATCAATCTCTCTATATATATATATCTTTTCCTCTTTTATTTTTTTCTCTCTCTCTCTCTCTCTCGATATTTTTGATTAATATAATAGTTCGATGAATTTTCCAAATTTTAAAAATATCGATCCAAATTCTTTTTCAAAAAGGTTTATTTAATAGACGAAATATCAAATATCATTTTTTTTTCTTTTTTTTAAATTATTTTCACCGAATCATACAAAATTTTTCCGATGTATTTGATCAAA